CCGTTTGAAGTTAAACGCAATAACTCAGTGCTTCTTTTTTCAATTGTTATGGAAATGCGAAATGTTTTTGTAATTTATATTGTACCAAGATATTTCGTCTCATTGTACCAAGTGAAAGAAATTTGCGCGCATACTTGGGCCGCTGTACCGACTGGAAAAAATGCTTCCAGTCCCACGTCCCACTCATCGTCCAAAGTAACTTCCATCCAAAATCCCATCTTCCTGAATTAGATGCGCGATTGATCCTCAATGTCTTGGAAAAAATCTTGTGACTCTCGGAACAAGCTAAATAAATGTTGAAGTTCTATATCGGTATGAGTTTCATCCCCATAAAGTTTTATGTTTTGTGTATAATTTCTAGGATCTAATTTGGAATCCATTTGCAACAAAATGTGTTTTAGCAAAAATTTGGATGCATTTCTTCATGTTCAGTTTCATTTTCGTCTCAAATTCTAAAACGTTCATAAAAAATAGCCAAGATTTCTCAATTCCCATGTTGAATTTCGTGAGGCCTAATGGACTTCAGGACTGAAGTGGAAGATTTCATTAGAATTTTATTGGCTCGGCTCCAAGCGTATACCTTTATTGATACTCCAACTCGTCATGGGCGTCGAGTGAGCTGCACTCGTTTGATGTTGCTTGCAACTCCTGACGTTTTATTGTGTGTTGTTGCTCAACGTCGTTTCCGCTCATTTTTATTATGCTGAATATCTGCTAGCAACATCAGACTTCATTTCATAACTTTGGGATTTTCCTGGACAATTTTCAGAGTATACAGAGTGGAATGTAGAAAAATTAGAATTAATATTTTTTTCTGTATTTTGAAAGGATTTTCGGGAATTCCGAAACTTTAATTAGAGAATTTCTAGCCTGGCATGTTTGCTATTACTTGACTGGGCTTTCTGTTCATTAACTGCGCTTCTGCTCATGTTCTGTGAGGTGAAATAAATTCGTAGCGTGGTCGTGCGCCAACAGAGAGGATTTGCACAATCGTTACTGTGTTTAACCAAACTAATATTTAGCTTAGTTTGGACAGGAACTTCGAGGATCCCTTGCCGAAGTGATACGACTAGCTACGCATTGTATTAGATTTAGAATATTTCTGTACATATCGGGTGAGCGTAGAATTCAAATGATGAAGCTTCAGCAATTATATGGATGCCTATTAGGAACAGGAGTGAGTGTGATATTGCGCATCAAGAAATGTGGTGCCTAATCTAAGTCTAGATTGATTCCGTTTTTTTAATTTAATTGATCTTGCGAGTGCATCACGTACCATTTATAATATAGACCTCTTTATGATGTTCTGTGGGTAATAATCTTGAACAATTTTTTACGAACATTTTTTCATTAGGGCCACCCGATTGCCACGACCTAATGCTTTTGTTACTAAGCGTCGAATCAAGATGAAATTGCTGGCAAATTAGACCAATAATCAATCTCTAGCACGAACATTCCTCGAAACATTCGTTGCAAGGGATATAATTATTCCTGATTGATACCATAGATATAATTTTAAATATATGTTTCGAACAAAAATCGTTTCAATAGATCAGATTACTTTTTACTTGAAATTATATTCGTGGTTGCACTGCAATGTTGAAAACAGACTTGGAATTGATCCCAGCGATAGATGTTTTCAGTAAAAGATGTCGGTATAGTCTAAAACTTGGGCTCGGTCTCGACAATCCCTAAGCTGTCTCAAAATATTATTTACGTTCATGAAAGAGAGAAGCCGTTACGAGGAGAATTAGGCGTTGCTGTAAGCTAACTGAGAGCAGCCGTGAGGCCCATATAACTTGGTGGTCTGCTCTAATGGATAAAAATTTAACCTGTTATTGATATTTATCTGCTTTTTTAATTGTTCACGTTAATTTACGTTAAAAAAAAGAAGAAAATATCACAACAATTTATTAAAAGTAGTAGCTTTAACCCCATTTGTAACCCCTCCCTATTTGGCAGCTGAATTTTACATTTCAGTTTTAGTGCTATCGCTTTTTTCATATTCCATACGATAGATTTTGTGTGAATGCACGCACGAGTATTCCCTTTGCATTTTTTCCTATATTATGCTTCATGTATACAGACAAAATGACGTCCTATCATGTTGTATGCATAGTGCATACATCATATAATTATTTCCTTTACCTGTTTACAATATTTTGCATCAGGGAATATTAATAAAAAATGATATACCTTGTAGTCATGTATCCATTGTGTATTTGCTCTTCGTCGTTTCTCATTTTTAGTTTTCCGCAGCTCTGGAATTCCATCACACGCAAAGAGGCTAGCTTAAGCTCCGTCGAGTGGTCGAAGAAAAGCTTCATGTTCAGAATAGTCAAGATGGCTGTCAGTCGTGAAGCTATCAGTCCAAGGAGTTGAAATACTATCACGTGAATTCGAGGTATCCAGAGCGGAACTATTCATCAAACGAAAGTTACTCCATCGGCAATGCTTTTTATATAACTCACGTTTGATGGACTTGATGAAATTTCTCATCGGAAAATTGTCTTCAGATTCATAGTTCAGATTTTTCAAGTCTCATTTTAAGCACATGATTTTTTGCAAAGCGTTAAATAAAAAACTCAGTTCAAATACGTACAATACAGATATGTTTGCCTTCTGATTGCAAGCGTGAGTTTTCTGTTCTAAAAATGTCTGGCAGTTCTCAATTTACTGAATTTATTATTTTCGGCAATAGTTGCATCTGTTAATTTTTTCGCCAAACGATATTTGCAATTTGCTCTGCCAAAATTCTGTCGCATATGGAATGAACTAATTCCATTCGGGCTTTTAGAATAAATTGAATCTCTGGTAGTTGAATGATGTGTTACTTGTTGCGTTCGTTGCCAAGTTTTTGAAATTGTCTAGTAGTTTTATGGAGTTTTCACGTCGTAGTTAACGTACTAATTCTGTTAAGTTAAATATTTTTTTTATTCGTCGTAATCGTCTTCACTCATAGAAAAAAATCTGTTTTTTTTTGTCAAAATTCTTTCGCGCCCCGAGAGTGGTTTTGTTTTTCATCGGACGCCTCTTCTCTGGCCCCATTACTGATCTCTGGCTGAGCTCTCTTCCGTCTGCGCTGGACGGTCTTGTTTTCTTGTTGTTCACGCGCACTCTGTTTTTTTAGGGCTGGACCTCATTTTATATTCTGCCGAAGATCTTGCTCTCAATTCTGATTAAATTCCAATTTGAGGATCCGTCTCTAAGGTTATGGTTAATGTGCCAGGAGGAACTCTTTTTAATACATTATATTCTGAATACTTCCTAAGATCTCGACATGCATTCATGCTAAGACCTCATTTTTCTTTCAGTTTTAGACCTTATTCTGGTGCCGTAAATGTTTTTACCACCTACCTACAATTCACCGAAACTTTCTTGCCAGGCTTGTACGTTTTTAGCCTTTTTATAAGGGTATTTCAATTAATTTTGTTTCAATAATTATTCCCTCATATGAGGGAAAAAAGATCGCGTTGGGCCGCGTCTGCAACGGCTCGGCTGTCGCCCATGCATCATTGTGTCGAGCATACGGCCGACGTATCGATCACGCGCGAATCTCGCAAAATGCGCGCCGGTGTTCGAGGAGCTGTTCTCGATAATCTTAAGAGTCCGCGTCACTTGCGGCCGCCCGAGGCTCGTCAGGTTTTCGTTATTGCCAGCGAGGAAATGCTTCCTATTCTAGATGAATGCCACCTAACCGATCGTAAAAAAAATAATACTAGTATAAAGATCGAGTTTGTATCGGTGATGATAGTTATAGGCGATTTTCTGTTGTACTACAAGTTTTGTGTAACAATATTGACTAATAATACGTGATCAATCCTATTGAATATATAAATTTATTGCCAATGTTTATATAAAAATATACAATTTTTAGAAATTGTCAGCTTTATTTCTATAATCTAAATTTTAGAGAATATTTTCTTTAAAACTTATTTTCTTTTTAAGTTTTGCGTTAATGTGATGTCATTGTTGCGTGAATTTATTTTCTTGTAATTTAATTTCCGTCGCAGCTAAAAATTTTTCGGTATCATCTTTTTTTTGCTAAAATTGTCCCAAGAAGCCAGAGAATTTTTTAAAGTTAGCTAGATTTTGAATTTAATTAAGACGGAAATATTCTTGGGTAGTTCATCATCAGTTGCCGGGAATATTGGCCACCGCTAGATTACTTAGTTGATTCAAAGAAACTTAATTGTGTCGGTTTTTTGCAGTGTCATATTCCATAACCTAATCAAGTCTTCATTTTGAAGCAAGGAACGAGAAAATGTGAAATTTTCATGACTTTTATCAATTGTAATGATTTAAAATATTATTAGTTTTTACTTCAATACGTAGGCTTCAAATTTCATGTACTCGTACTTCAAACATTTTCATTTGATGTATTTAAGAATTTAGATCTATTGAGCTCATTATGACATTTTTATCTGAAAAAGTGTCATCGCAATATTTATGATTGTTTTAAAAATGACACTTGTACAGTAATTCAAAATGATATCCATATTGATCTCACACATGTTTGTTAATTAAACGTATGCAGACTTACTAATAATTCATGATAAAACCAATTGAAGATATAAATTTTATCGTCAATTGAACCTGAAACATTAGTGTGATCACTAATTGCCAGGAGCAGACGTCGCGTGTTCTTGTCTCCTGTTTTTATATACCGCCGCACGCGTCTGACCTTCGCCAGCTACGCGAAATATTTAGTGGCCCGACGTCGCTCTTCGATATTCAATGTGAAAAAAAAATAATTGTTGTTTACCGTAATTAGTTTCATGTTTAGCCCCTCGCTAACGATTCATTCTCTTAATTACTCGTATTTTAGATTCAATTCTATTGTTTATATATTCCTAAGCGCCAATTAATATTTGAAAAAGGTTCTATCTTATCAGTGAAGAGTAAAATTCGATGTTTTCACTGAAATTCGTTCACAGGCCATGAAAGAAATGCAGATGAGTTCTGACTGGAGACTAATGGATAAATTTTATGTTTTTCAGGGTCGCAGTAAAAGCCTCACGCACATCGATACTCTAGGGGGCGAGGGGGGGTCGCCAAACTCCGCCATGTTGGGGGGTTCAGACGACGGTGGGGGGGATGCAGGGGAGAGCGCATGGTCGGGGGGCGACGGTCAACATCAGCTGGGTGTGCCTCACGAGAACCTACATCAGCGCAAGAAACTTTCCCTGCACAGCAAAGTGAGTACCAGAGCCCGCTCTATTGAACCTCGAGTACCAAGCCCGCTCTATTGAACCTCGAGTACCAGAGCCCGTTTTATTGAACCTCGAGTACCAGAGCCCGTTTTATTGAGCCTATAGGCTCGTTTGAAGTTCCCCGACAACTTCAACAAGGCCTTCAACAGCAGGAAATTGTTAAATACATTCGCTGAGTTGAATCCTAGTAATGCTTGTGTAATTCAAACTCTTACTTGTATTCTAGTCCCACCAACGGCAGGTACTAAAATCCCCTGCCGGGGGGTTCGGTATTTAAGCTTTTTAAATCACGGTGTATCCTGTGATGAACGGATGATCTGTTCTGACTTTTAGCGATAACTTGAGGCCTGAACGATCTTTATTGCAATGATCTGACATTTTCTGTGAAGGTTTATGACTTACATCGCCGCTGATATCTTATTCCTGCATGCGAGCCGCGAACGTCATGTTTTTCATGGGATTTATATGGCTACCTTAATACAATCTCCAAAATTTTATGTCCACAGATATCGGTCATTTTTCATTTGAATGTCTCATTTTTGGGGTCTGTTTTTTTTCAATTCTTGCGCCAGATTCAAATCAGATTGCGCATTGCTGCGTCAGAAAGTTTGTATGCTGCCTCACTCACGCTCGCCGACTGTGACCTTGCGCTAATTTGCAAAGAAATACTTGTCTGGAGACGTTTCTTCATCTTGTCACTCATCAGCGTAGCCTCAATTAAGGAAATAAGCCTCAAATAAGTTATGTTATTATTGTTGTACGTTTGTCGTGAGAATATGATGTCTTATGCCACATTTTATTTTATTGTCTTATTTTATTAATTTATTATAATTTGAATAATACAGAGAAGGCGGCTTTTTTGTCTCTGTTTCTGCAATTGATATTTTTTGCATTGTGTCCGCCTCACGCTGTCTACATTTCGGTGTCTTTCAAGCCTCGTATGACACATGTCACCGACATGATGTCGCCTGCAGGTGATTTGCGCTTACAGGGACGAGCCTTCGTTTGCTCAGCACTCGTCGGGGCTTTTCATTCACCAATCATCAAAGTTTTATCAAAATAATCTGTACTGTGAACGCCATCTTGTTTGTGCTCCTGCAGACGGTATATCTTTGTGTCTATGGCTGAAAATCATAACTTTGAATAATTTTTTTACCTAAAGTGTGGAATGGATGAGATTAATTAGTTATTCCGGGAAAAATCTCTAGAACGTCATTCGCGAAAGTTATTACGGAATTGCGAATCATCCACGCATTTATCTTCATTTGTGTCTTCAAAGTTTCGGCTAAAAAAAATCCATGTTTTTTACCCCGTCCACTGATTTAAAAATAAGTCCTGGGAGTTTGCAACCTCGAAAAATTCTTTTTATTAACAAAGTTGGTCGCTAACATTTCAGACGCCATTCATGCTTGAAATTCAGACGCGTCGACAATTTTGCAGCTAATTGAGCGAGTTGCAAAGCGCAATTAAGTGTGTTATGTTTTTAGTCGAATTTTTGCATAGCCAATATTCAGACTTCCGGACGAATTACCAGAATCCATGACCTCTTCTATAGAATTTGTTAAGGAAGCGAGGTTTTCGTTCGCTGAGAAGTACGATCTTTTGACCTCCAACTTGCCATGGCCATTGCCAGGATAGAGACATGATCCGCCTAAGATACGAAGTGAAACAAACGTGTTAGAGACGGATGAAGGTTTAAAGGCTGTTGATAATATTTCATCCGTGATAAGAAGTATTTGCTTATATTTTTCTTATACTTATTGACATTTTCTCATACTTTTTGCATTTTTTATTGATTTCCTTGAATATATTCCCCATTACAACCCCGTTTCTGAGAAAGCTTGTATTCTTCCTTTGAAAATACGAAACTTGATAATTCTTCTGCATTGGAGAAGCACGGCGAAAAATCTATCGTTTTGTCCGAGTTTTCCTCTGCTGTATCTGGATACCACTGGACGCAGCCTCTTATCAAATTGCAAGCTCGTCAAGTGCGGTCCCAAAATACGCCTGGTTGTACCATCTCTTCTAATTTTACGGTCTTTCGCCCAGCTTTGCTCTCTTCGGTCTATGCACGCCTGCATGACGCCTCATAAATAGACCATTGAAAACTATTGGTTTGAAGTTGAATGATCTTTGTGCCGCTTAGAATGTATTCACATGACTTAATAACTCCGCTGGTAAATTGTGCACTGCAGAGCTTCCAATGGAACTGTTACAATAACTCGGTTTTCGCTGCAAGTTTGGCCAACAGTGCATCCCACGCAGCACACCCACTGCAGAGATGACATGCGGTATAGCACTGATGTTGTCACAAAGAAGACATGCAGTGTAACCACTGCAACGTAAGCGTGCTGACCCGTTACTATTTAGTGGCTTCATCACGACGACGTAGCGTTTTGCTGCATACATTCAGGGTATAAACTGCAGAATAAGCGTGCAGTTTCTGCTGATGTGATCTTCACTCATTCCACTGGAGTTTGATTTAATTTTTTCCAAAGTAAATGAGTGTTAGTAATTATTTCAATTGTTACTTAATTTTTTTTATTTATTTGTGGTGAATTCATCTTTATATTTTCGACATTTTACCTTAGTAAAATTTAATGGTCAGAACCATTTTTGCACGATTTGAAGAAATATGAGCTTCGAAAATGATTAAAATCGGTTATTTTTGAGTATCTATACTAAAACTATTATTGCCGGAATGCATCGCAACACATTATCTAAATATGTAGCTATCGTTATGGTCATTAAATTTTGAACTCGAGAAAAAGAAACTGAATGTAATAATGTGACTATAATTTCATTTTAATAGACATAATCTAGTTGCCCGGAAATTACAATGGAAAATATCGTAACAAAATACACTAAACCCCGTTCGAACTTCTAATTTAAGTATAAAATGGTAAACGTAGCTTGTTTTTGCCCTAACATTAACGTTGCCGGCACCTGACCATATACTGGTTGAGATGCCGGGCCACATGTACGAAGGTTAAAAGTTGCTCAGGAATAAGAAGCTAACGGAAACGCACAGTGCATATGGCGGACACTCTGGGACTCATTTTGATCTAACGTTCGCTACCCAGTTGCAGCCTTCTGCCACGCTGGTCGCAGAGTGTTGAATAAACATTCAAATTGAAGTGCGGGCGAAGTACAGTGCCAGCACGACTCCTTCATCAGCTGGACCCGGTAGCCGCACCCGTCCATGGACGTCGACAGAAGTGATACATACGACTGTACGAGATCTTGGTTAGGAATTAGTGGCGAACAGCAGTGCTAGTGGTGGATCTGGAGGCTTGTCTTCACGGAACATCGCACGGTCCAGCCAAGCCGTTTTAGTCAAGCGGTTCAATTGAGAGTGAACTGATGTAGCCTCACTTTCAATTTCAGTTTTAAGTAATGCGTTGACAAGAAAATAAATGCGCGACCAACGTTTCGCAGAAATCCGACCAGAACGCCACTCCTGATGTGACTGCATGAAGCTTGCTGCATGATGCTGTTAATAACTAAGGCTTGTTTCATGATGCTTAAGAAAGTTGAACATTTGGAAAAGAACGCTACCTAAGAATGCCTAATGTATGCAATCATCCTATTTTGTGCTAATACATCAGTTACTTAATATCAGACAATCAGAAATCCGAAATCAGCTCGGTGTTTTCTATCAACACATCAGGTGCTTAGTACTAGAAGACTGAAATTAGATTACAATTTTCTGCTAAACATCAAATATCGATCAAAACAGAATGTTGTGTTTACTGTTCAGTTGCGTCAGAGCAGAGAGCGCAAATTAGTGTAGTATTCTGTGTTCGCTATTGTAAATCTATGAGCACAAATTAGCCTTTTGTCTGTAATCACTCTTCGACACATTTTTGAGCCTCCAAACCCTGACTTCTTGTCATTTCTTACCATAACATGTTCAAGCGCTTCAAGTTAGTCTTCAATATTCATTAAAGTTATTTGTCAAATTTTGTAACAAAGTTGGCATTGCGATGGCCTATCATGAGTAATTAATAAAATAAAACGAGCCACACTCATGCACTGCAACAATGAGCTTTCTCTGAAATGAGCTTTTTTTTTCTCTGAATTCTGTTCAAATTGTGAAAGAATTTAGATCTAAATACTTTTTATAGTTTTCGAAATGTAAAACATTATGAATCATTAAAATACTTTCCCTTTAAATATTTAGGTAATACGACCTAAAATTCGATCTAATGAAATTAAATAAATTTAAATCAGCACGCTAATGAAAAATGGCGTTGCTGTAAATAACAGGTGTGTTTAGCTTCAACAAATTTTCGATGTGTTATGTCATTCTTTTTATCGCCCACTTCGAGCTCAATACACCATGCACTATGTATTAAAAAGTCTCAAAAGGCTAGTCCTTCTAAATTAGCAGCACTAGCATCCCGAATCTAGATTGACCACCATTAAAAAAGTATAGTCTGATTTTTTAATGAATAAATACCATAAATGTTCATAAAATATTATGGAATGCAAAAATGGCTCATTATACGAAGCATTCGGAGCTCTTATTCCAAGGTTGTTAGTAGCGCCCTGGGAGCAGCAAATTTAATGTCGTAATTAGCATTCTCGGCCGCTGCGAGCCTAGAACGAAATTCGTGATTTCGGGCTCAAATTTTTTTGCCTGGAGCCAGGCCGCGCGTTTTTTCCCCCTCATGATTTGTATTGCATTTGCCAAGTCGCAAGTTCATGGGTTACAATAACTCGATTTTCATAAGGTCATAAAGTTGACTTGGTTTAAGCCGGCGTTACGTGCTGCCTCAAGTCGGCATTACTCAAAATCCCGCTCTGCGCGCCCGTCGCCACTAAATGGTTAATATTCAGTCCTCTGTATTCCAAGTTTTTTTCAGAGGGCGTTCTGCGATCCCCGGCTCAGTGTGGCCCCTAATAAGCCTAGCTTCTAAGCTTGAGCCTTCACCCTTGCTTACACGGCAACCCCTTCCGCCTGCATGAGACTGCTTTCTCAT